TGGGAGACTACTAGGGTTGAATATAGAATATATTTTCAGACATGGTTTCTAGTGTATGTTTTTGCTTAATGAGGGGAAGTGGGGAAATGCTGTAATGACGTAAAGATAAAAGGAACCAATGAGATATATTTAAAATAAAATAAAAACAGCTGGAATCCCAGACTCACAATTTCACATATAGTCTTTCATAGGCCTGAAGGCACGTTCCAGAGAGAATAAGCACTTTTGTAGCACCTATTACCCGGTAGGGGCAGCTAAGTGGCTCAGAGGTTAGAGTTATTAGGCCTGGAGTCAGAAGACCTGAGTTCAAATTTGACCTCAGGAACTTGCGAGCTGTGTGACCCTGGGGAAGTCACTTAACCTCTGCTTGCCTTAATCCACTGGAGAAGGAAATGGCAGATCACTCCAGTATCTTTGCCAAGAAAACCCCATGGACAGTATAATCCATGGGGGTCCTGAAGAATTGGATAATGACTTAATGACCAAACAACAACACTATGTGCCAGGCACTATGCTAAGCACTTCACAATTTTCTCATTTGATCTTCACGACAACCCTGGAAGGTAGGTACTATTTTTATCCTCATTTAACAGATAAGGAAACTGAGTCAAACAGTGGTTAAGTGACTTCCCCAGGGTCACAAAGCTACTAAGTGTCTGAGGTAGGATTTGAACTCAGGTCTTCCTGACTCCAGGACCAGTTCTCTATGCACTTCACCATCAGCCTACAGCACATTAGGTGCCTGAGAATATGTTATTGGAAAAATGGATTTTTAGTACCCGAAAAATAACAGCTCACAAGCAATGTCTTCTTCACTCAGATTCTCAGAACTGGAAGGGACTTTAGAGGTGTCCAGTCCACATCCTCAACGCCAACCCATGCAAGGGTTCCCTCTGTTGAGACTCCTATGGTGACAAGATCTCTCCTTTCTGCCAAAGCCTCCGACCTGACCCGGCCTGCATCTGCCCCCCAGTTCCCTTATCCCCCTCCAGGAGGGCCAACAAGAATCAGACACCAGGAATATGTGATGTATTCCATCCTTATGTTTTAGAACTGGACTAATCTCTGCCCTCTCAAAATACTTTAGGGTCCACAGGGCAAAAACTGATGACTTAGAACCATATTTGCCTAAGAGTTTTCATGATCGTTAACCATAGAAATCTTTAGGATGGCTCAGTGAGGTCTGCAGGGCAGGCATTACTACTCTAGGTCTAGGTAATAACTGAGGACCAGAAGGGGGAGTGATTTGCCCGATTTCACACTGATAGTTCCAGTCAGGAATAGAACCCAGTACTTCTGACCATCAGACCACTGTGCTGTCTAGCTTGATGGCATAGTAGATAGAGTTTGAAGTCAGAAGACCTGATCTGAAAGCCTTCCTCAGATACTTACTAGTTGTGTGACTCTGGGCAAGTCACTTAACCCCTTTGCCTTAGTTTCCTCATCTATAAAATGGGGATAATAGCACTTACGTCCTGGATTGTTGTGAGGATCAAACGAGATAATAATTGTAAAGTGCTTAGGATAGTGCCTGGCACAAAGTGGGCACTATATGTTAGCTATTATTATGGGTATTGGGGGAGGGGTGCAAATTGGGAGAAGAATGAGCATGTGCTAGTGGGATTTTCAACTTAATTTGCAAGACTGGGATGAGCCATTCTCCTAATAGGAGGAATGGAAAGCTTCTGTTAATGCCTCCATTCCAGCACCTCTCTGCCCACCCACCCTGGAATAATCAGCTATGGCTAATTGCCTTATTGGGATCCAAACCCCCTGAAAGAACATCAATCCACCTTGTCCTAAAACTCCGAGGTCTACACCCCCACCCCCACCCCAAGGCCAATTCCCTGGGCCAATGAAGGCCACTATCCCAGCCTCCATATCTCCCAGAAGCAAGGCCCAGCTTCAAGGATGACTCCAGCAGTAAGTAGTAGGTGGAGGGTGGGTTTTTATTATTATTTTTGTGAAAATGGAGAGACAGCAATTCCCAGTCATGATTGTCACAGTCTGACAGCACGTGTGGATACAGCTGCAGATGAAGATGACCACACTGAAAACCAAAAGCTAACCATTACTCTTCCCAAAGACCCCATAGGCTGTGATCGTCTCCTTTGGACTAACCAACCACCATCTACAGAGGAGAAGAAACTCGATAGAAAATGGGGATTGCACCACCTGATAAAATAGATTTCATTGGATTAGCTTTGCTACAGGCTGTAGATTTGTTTGCTATAAAACTCTCCCACAAACATTAGTTTTTAAATATACATATTTAATCTGAACTGCATTGATTAAAAAATTAAAAATTGATGATTTTTTTTACATTAACTTCACAGTATTTGTTTGCAGATGACGACAAACCCAGTGTTAACGAGTCAGGGCAGAACCGCTCTCCAAGAAAATAAACTCTCCAGGACTGGAATCACCCACATGGGAGACAGTATGCAGCAGCATCTCCCAACTGTTCCACTGACGAAGTGACCCACTGTGGGAAGAGCTGTGCTCAGACCTATGGCCTTCACACACACACACACACACACACACACACACACACACACACACACATCACACACACTTCAGCAGAATATAGACACAAGTGCAAAAGTCCTTGTTGGAGCTGCCCAGTGGCAGGAGCCAGGAAGACAGCATCTCTACAGCAAGAGTTCAAGTATTTTCTTCTTTTTCCCCCACAATTACCACACCTTGGAGTCCCTGACACCCACTTGCCTGACCTAGCCAGATCCCTAGGCTTTCCAAGGCTAAAAGACCTAAGCTCACAGAATCAAAGAGTTAGAAAGAACTTTAAGGACCATCTCAGTTCAATCTGTATGAAAGCAGAAATCCTTTCTGTAAGACATCTTTGTCATGTACTGGAAAGAGGGCTGGACTGAAATCAGGGGGACACAGATTCCAAACCCAGTTCTGCCTCTTATTCCCTAGGTGAATTTAGACAAGTCCCTTTACCCCACAGGCCAGTTTCCTCATCTGTAAGACCAAGGAATTGGACTACATGATCTCGAAGTCCCTTTCAGCTCCAGACCCTGTGATCACCAGCAAGTGGCAATCCAGCCCTCTGCTTGAAGGGCATTCAGTGAAGGGAAATGTCAGCCACATATGGTCCTACCTGCAGCCCCCTGTCTCACTACTGCTTGGGCATGGACTGGGCTTGGTATGGAATATGTGGGTCTGCAATTTGCTTTTATTCACAGAGATCACAAAAAACATTATGCAAAATTTTAAAGTAAAAAAACAAAAACTTAGAAAAACTTCAGCTACCCTTCTTGCCAATACTAACATATTAGTCACTTGCTCCCTTTACCAAACAAAGAAACCTTGGAAGCATTACAGTGGAGATAAACTCATCATTTAGAATAAAAAAGGTTTCTAGCAGTTATAGTATCACTTCAAATTAAAACTTCTAATAAATACTACATCAAGTTTCATCAGGAGAAAAAGAAAATAACTTAATTTTAGTAGACTTTGTCCTCAGTGCTATTTCCAATCACAGCAAAAAATATATATGTATGCCTATCTATATGTGTAATATATGTATTGATATATTATTCAGCAGGCTAAGACCACGATACGGAGTCACATGTCCACAGGACAACAATGCAGGTCACCATATTTTCCAAAGCCATGTAACAGTTTCAGTAAAGTACAGGTACAGTCAGGTAATGAAATTAGACACATGCCATAAATAAAATGAATTTTCACATTACATTCAGAGTTCAAAAGGGGCTGGTGCTGGGGGAGGTGGGGAGGAGGGTTCATCGAGGAGAACTAGCCGAAGTTCCCCGAAGAAACTGAGTCTCCCCAACAGGTTGCAGCCAAACAGCTCCCATATGGCCCTCCTGAAACCACACACCTCCTGCCACAGTCAGTGCTCATGACATTGCCCCACAAGGGAGGGCAAAGACTAATGTGCAAAAAAAAAAAGATCCCCCCCAGTAAAATCTGAAGTGTTTCAGGGAGCAAGCTCAGTGCTATTAATAACAACCAACCTTAAGGAAATTCCAGGTAAGTGGGGGTGGATGATGGGGAAGCAGAGGCCAGTGGTCAATCCCCCTCAGCCCCACCTCAGTCAGGAGGGCAGCCAGCTGAGTAACACTCAAGTCCACAAACACACCCAACATCATTTGCTCAGACACACTCAGGGACTCAGACTCAAAGGGGCAAATGGTTGACAAAATTAAACTTGACCTCACTCCCAGACTCCACGGGCAAACCTTCTGTGAGGCACATCCAATTCCCAGGCCCTAAGGAGAGGCTGGCCAGTCACTTGAGACTTTGCATAAAGAAGGTCGCTCCAAGTTGGTGAACTTGGGTACTCTAATTCCAAATCTGGCTCTCTTGCCACTTCACCTAGGACCCACTTGTTTCTGTCCCCAGCTTGATTCTGTCTTTAAAATGAGCTGAGTTTTGAACTGATCAATCTTCCGGCTTTAAATCCTGTATTTAACAGGATAAGGCGACCTCAAATGTCCACTTGCCTCAATATACATACTTGAATAACTGTTCCTTCCTTTCCAAGGGCATACCTATTACTCTACCTGCCACTTTCCTGGGCTTCTTCCATGGCTACCACTCCTCAGCCCTCCAGTACCCACCTCTCCAACTCAGAATATGGAATTTGGACCATTTGGTTTGTTCTATGGCTCATCCAACACCAAATTCTACTCCACTACTCTCAGAGTACCAAAGAGGTTCCATTTCTGTGTCGATCCCCAAGCCCCCTAATAGAACTCACTAGGTAATTCACACAGACATCACTCTGTATGACATACATATTCTTCATTGGGAAAGGGCAGCAAAAGGCAGGTCCCACAAAAACTCCCTTTTAAATTCCAGAAGGCCCAGGGAAGGAAGATGAACATGCCATGGTATCAGTGAAAGAGGAAACCTCGAAAATGATATATACTCAAAGGGAGAAACCTAGGAATTGAATAGTGGAAATGAGAAATGACCACATGAAAACACCCCACCCCTCCCGCCCCAAGAAACAATCAGGGAGAGAATGTTAAGTGGAACTTAAAGGAGGTCTGTCCATCTCCCTGTCCCTTGGTGATTGTTGCCTGGGGCCCAGTTGGGAGAAATAAGGAGGTCAGCATGGAAAGTATTTTAGTGTCTAAGAAGCACATTCTCTTCTTTTTGAGCTAAGAAAAAAAAAAAAGACAAAAAACCATGAGGTAAGAACTTCAAAAGGCAGGACCTCTTGGCATCTAATCACAACTCTGGAGAAAAGGTTTTTCTAGAGGCAGCTTCAGAATTTTCCAACTTAGAGGTCAGATCAGGCATTCCAGAGACTGGTGATGCAAGACCGTCTCTCCCAACAGTCCCTGCATGTGCCTGTCCTACAGTAGGACAGGCCAGCCTTATACATAAAAGCCCCTCTGGCTAGATGCTGCTGTGGAGCATCAAAAGAGCATAGGAACAATCATTCTTCGAATCAAAACGTCATAAACATAGACACACACACACACACACACACACACACACACACACACACACACACACACACACACACACACACACACACACACACACACACTCTCCTCTCTCTAGCCAAACCCCAGCTCCTTCATAAAACTTCAAACTACCAGGGACTTGACAAGGCCACAGTGAAACTTTCGGATATGCCGATACAAATCCCCAGACTGTGTAAAACGTCGTTCACACCACTTGCAGGCATGAGGCTTTTCTCGAGTGTGCACCACCGCATGCCGGCTAAGATTGTGTGAGTACTGGAAGCTCTTGCCACACTGCACACAAGTGTATGGCTTCTCGCCTGAGTGTGTCCGCTCATGCCTCTTAAGGGTGTACATGCATGAGAAGGTCTTTCCACATAGTGTGCAGGTGGGCACTGACCCCTCTGGTGACAATCGAGCCCTTGAGCCACCATCCTTGTCCCGGAAGTGAGAGCTCAGATGCAGCTGTAGGACATGGGGGTTGGGGAACACCTTGCTGCAGAGAGGGCAGATGCAGATGTGGCCAGGGGGCCCCAGCACCTCTGAAGCAGAGAGGTCTGATGCATCCAGGTCATCTTCACTCTCATCCCGCTCTGGGTCCAACTCATCTTCCTGGCCATGAAACATGTGGCCCAGGCCTGTGACCAAGTTTTTAGCCACAGGCCCAAATGGCTGGCCCACTGGACTCCTTGCCTTGCCATCTTCCTGGTCTGACAACAAGTCCTGTTCATTTTTCACCATCAGTTCGACTTCCTGCTGCTGCTGCCGATGATCAGCAGCCAGCTGTCTGAAGACATAGGAAGTATGGAGGGCATCCCTCCCTGAAATCGGCTTCAGAGACAGATCCAAAGCACACTCTGAGTCACCAGGGGCCTGGCTGGGTATTGGGAGCTCAGTCCTCTGAGAAAGAGAGACCCCCACACCATTATCCAAAGGTTTGGCCTTCCCAGGACTTGGACTTAGGTCTGCTTTTTTCGATAGTGAGGATGGTCCCATGAGGTTGTTAGACCAGGTGGGGTGGGCCCCAGACTGATCATACTCTAGGGGACTGAATCTTGGCTGGCCAGGCAGTTCTAACTCATGGCCCAGGGATATGTTGGGGCCCAGGAAAGGTCTGTCCTTCTCTTCCTCAATCACTAGTTCTTTTTCCTTTAGTTTACCCTTGCAGACTTTGACAATGTCATACATGTGGAGGTAGCTGGCAGCAGCTAAGATGTCCTCAATGGGCAGGCTGCTCAACTCCAGCTTGCCCTCATACATGAATTCAAGCAGCAGGCTGAAGGCTGGGGCCGTGACAATGTCACTGTTCAGATGTACAGTCTCCCTTTTGTCTAACTGGTCCCTGTAGAAGAGGTAGAAGTACATGCTGCAGGAAGCCAGTACAGCTCTATGAGCCTGGAACCGAGCTTCCCCGACAAGCACAGTGGAGTCGCACAGGAATCCTTGGTGTCTCTGCTGACTCAGGGACTGCAGCAGCTGCCGGCTGTGGTCCGGGAACTCCATTCTGCCTTCATAACCTGGGCACAAACAGGAAAAACTTGAATGCGCCTGGAAACTCAAACCTCCTAGCAGCTGTAACCAAACAAGTCGCCTCTTCTCTTTGCTAGCTGGCTCCAGCTCTCCCTCCCTCCTTGCCTGCCTGCCTCCCTCCCTCTCCCTGCCTAGGTAGCAAAGAGCCAGTTAGGAATAATTGTTCGCTGGAGTTTGGTTTGTATTAAACTAACTCTCCCATCCCTCGGCACCTGCTGGGGAGCAGGAAAAACTTGATCATAAGTAAACAAGGGCTTTAGAAGCAGAGGGGGAGAAAAGATAGGGAGTGGGCAAGAGACTCGAAGGAAAAGAAACCTGGAATAGAGGGAGAAAGAGAAAGAGGAGGGGGGTGAGGATAAGAGAGGGGGAGACACAGAAGAATGATCCAGAGCTTGGGCGAGAAGGGGAGGCGGAAGGGAGTGTGAGAAGGAAGAAAGAGATAGAGGAAAAGAAGGAGACACCGAGTAAGGCAGAGAGTCAGAGATGATGAGAGACACAGAAATTCACAGGGGGAAAGAGAAGGAAAAAGACAGAAAAATGGGAAGAGAGGGAGAGAAGCAGTCTAACCTTTGTTTCACTCAGAAGAGATAAATCCCACAAGTGCAAGTTACTGTGGTCACAGAAGCTGCCCTCCTCCTCCTCCCCCACCCCTTCCCAGGCCCTTGCAGAGCCCCCCAGCCCCCCTTCATTACCTCCCTCCCCCTCCTCCTCCCTCCAGCTCCATGGGAGCCAAACTTCCCCCGCCCCGAGAATGAACTTCACTTTTCTTTGCTACAGCGAAACCCAGGACTCCCTGACCCGGCCAGAGCCAGATCTCAGAGCCAGATCTAGAGCCCGAGCCCAAGCCAGAACCAGATCCAGAGCCCGGGCCAGAACCAGATCCAGGGCTGGAGTGGGAAGGAAAGCGAGGAAAAGGAGGAGGAGGGAGGTCTTTTCAACTCCAAGTTCCCCAAAGCCAGCAGGCCCCTTACCTTCCCCGGGTGCCCCCCGGGCGACAAGCCGAGCATGGCCCCCCCCCCCCCCGCCTCCTTCCGTCCCTCCGCCTGGGCGGGCGCCAGCACCCGGGGCCGGGAGCAGCCACCACTGCCGGGCCAAGGGGGAGAAGGAGAGTGAGTGTGTGTGAGAGTGTGCAAGAAGGAGAGAGGGAGGGAGAGAAGAAGGGAGGGAAGGCTGCTGCGAGGGGGAGAGGGAGAGAAGAGGGGGCGGGGGAGAGGAGTGCTCGGTTTGCTAATTACAAGGCAAGCTGGAGAGTCAGCTGCTCCGACTTCCCAGCGATAGAAATGTTACCTCCAGCTGCGCTCCTTTTAATGCCATATGTTGCTCGGAATCTCGCTACCAGCCAACCACAGCGGGGCCGCCTTTTAAAGTTTCTCCAGCCCCATTGGGAGCTGCGCGATGGCAGCCCCGGCACTCCCTTGCTCTCCCCGAGCTGCCGGGCCCCGGGGCCCAGCCCGGCTGACCCTCGCCGCTGCCCTGAAGTTTCTCCCTCTCCTTCGTCCCCCTTCCCTCCCCCGCGCCAGTTCCGAGCTCAGAAGCAAAAAAGTTTCAGGAAGTGCGCGTCGAAGCTGCCACGGCCTGGCTGGGGCTGCGGGAACCGGGCTAGGACTGCGGGGGCCGGGCAGAGGCTGCGGGGAGCAGTCCAGGAGCTGCCCCGGGGAGGGAGCAAACCGTGCGCAGTGCTGGCCGCACGCAACGCAGCTGGGAGCCAAACTTCGGAGCCGGGAGGGAGGGCGGGACGGACCCAGGGACTGAGGGAGGGACGCAGCACAGAGGGGGCGGAGATGCCGGGGACTTCCAGGAGTGGGGCAGGAATGAGGTCACCCTACACACCCCCTTCCCCACCTCCGCCTGGAGCGGGCTGGTCCCAGCCCTGGGCGGCCCCTGGAAGGCGGGGTGAAGGGGGAGAAGGAGGGAGGAGGGAAGGGCTGGACAACTAGGAGGGTGCGGTGGCTCCAGCGGTGCGCGCCCCCTCCCCGCGCCCCGCCAGCTGCGGCTCCCGGTTCCCTCCGCCCAGCAGGGCTCAGCCCGCCCCCGTCTGGGAGTGAGCTTTAATAGGAATGTGTGCGCGCGCCCAGCAGGTTGGTAACCGGCAGCTCTCGCGATACTTGTCTCTCTCTGGCCAGCCCCCCCACACTCCGGGGGCCGACTGTCCAGCCGAGCCCGGGCGCCCCCTCCCCCCACTCGCCCAGGTTCTGCAGAACCAGTCCCCGGCGTGACCGCGCGCCCGCTTCTAAGCTCAGTCTCGAGTGCTCCTCTCGAGCCCTGGGTGGGGGTGCAAGGTGTGGGGTGGGGGGAAGCGGAGAGACTCGCTGTGCTCCCGAGTCCAGGCTAGGAAATACCGCGGAGTCTGAATCGGGGCTCTCCTGACCTGGTGACCCCAGGGCAGGGCAAACAAAGTAGATTGGGGAGAAGGGGAGGGGACGCCTGGAGCAGTAGAAAGCTTTGGGCTTGGGGGTCTGGACACCTGTAATCTCCAGCTAGTTCTGAAGCTACCTCTTTGACTTCGGGCAAGTCCCTTCTGCTCTTCGAAACTCAGTTTCTCCATCCTTAACAAAAAAAAAAAAAAAAAAAAAAAAAAGACCTATAATGTCCCTTCCAACTATAAGTCTTACGAACCGAGGAACTTTAGAACAGTACGTGGGAGGATGTACTATTAGATGTTACCGGAATTGGACAGCCCGCCTGGTTCTGAAGTCCAAGGACCGGGGTTCGAATATCGCCCCTCACTCTCACTACCTCCGTAAATTTGGGCAGGTCACTTAAACCGTCCTGAACCTCAGTTTCCTCATCTGTAAAATGAGGGCGTTTAACTAGGTAGTCTCAGAGGTCCTTTCCAGTTCTGCATCTATGATCATTTGACGTTTGCCTCTCAGAAGCAGAACTGGCCACCTTCCTTCTCCCATCACCCCGATGTTCTCTGCCCCCTCAAATCGCTTTGTATTTATACCCTGTACATATTGGAACCTTAGAAAAATGTAAGCTCATTGAAGCGCTTAGCACAGTCTGGCACTTAGTAGGCACTTAATAAATGTCCGGTCCCAGACCTCATCTGTGCCTTCCTCACCCACAGCAAATCTTTAATAAATGTCGAATTTAACCCAAAGTGATTTGGAAGCCTGCACTACCTTCTCTGTTCCTAAGCCCTCCAAGCTGGAGAGCCTTCCCTGAAGCCCAATCCTTTTCCCTCCTGTGAATAAAGAAACATTTACTAAGCCCCTACTGTGTGCCAACCACAAAGATTGAATTCAACATTTTAATTAGCTGTAATTCTGCCCATGGGAAAAGTTTAACCTTTGATTCACACAGGAATAGGCAGAGATCCACACTCATACTCCCTCAAACACGTCTCTCCCAGGCATGATCACAAAATCTTGTTCCTGGTTCTCTCTTCACATTTACAGATTCACACTTGCACTTTCCCCAGACACACTCAGACTCACAGATACTCACACCCATACACAGACAGACCTATGTCCCAGAAACATATTTACATACCAGGCAGTATCCACAGAAGCACTCACCTCAAAAACTCACGTACACTATCCCAGACACACTAATTCATACGCATTTACAACCCTCCTGGACACATATTCCCTGAAATACTTATCCAACAGTGTTGTACATAACACTTCCAACTTGAATCCCATATGATGAGCTGAGTTCTAATCTGGCCTTAGACATTTAACTGTGTGACCCTGGACTAGTCTGCCTCAGTTTTCTCATCAGTAAAATGGGGATGATAATAATAATGGCCCCCTACTTCACAGAATGATTGTGAACATAATATGATATATTTGTAAAAGTACTTGTGCTATATAAATGCAAGCAATTATTACTGTAGTTTCTTCCATTTATATTTGCACCACCTCAGAGACAGACACAAGCTACCCCAGAAGGTAGCAATGCTGGGAGAGAGCTACTAGTTCAACCTCATTTTTACAGAAGGAGAAACTGAAGGAGAGACAGAGAGACAGATGGGAGACAGAGACTTGCTCAAGGTCACACACAGTGTCAGAGTCAGCACTCAAACTCAGGAGTTCTGGCTCCCATCTTATCCCATCAGTAGTTCTTCCTATTTTATACAACATATGGCTTACCCTAAACTATTCTGCCTGCTATGTTTGAAGACCGCTTTCAGGAAGCACAAGGCCAGGCTTTAATTTTGAATGATGGGGTTAAGAAATCAAGACAAAGGAAAGGAATTAGTAGAAAGAGCCCTGGACTTATGGATTGAAGGACCTGGGTTTTGTTCCTGTCCCCCACTTAGTTGGATGACAGTTGGCAAATCACATAACTTCTCTTTTCCTTACTTTCTTCACCTGTAAAATGGGATTAATAATAGTTATATTTCCTCCCACAGAAAGAGACATAATTTGTGTATTTAAAACCCTGTAGACATGAGAGGTGCCCATCCTACAATGTCCCAAGTTTAATGAGGTTGCCCTTTTTCCATTTTCTATTTTATAGATTATCCCAGGCAAGTTTTTTCCAATCTCTTCACCTTGAGTTGCCAGGGGGTAACAATGCCTTTTTCCCAGGGACCACAGCCAACCCATCTTTTCACTGTACCCTCTTGTATCTGTCACATCCCTACCTCTTCCCTCCTGCCTGCCTGCTCAGAATTTCTCCTATGTCTAGATCTCTCTCGCCTTTGACCTGATCTTCTGTGTTTGTCCTCCCCTCCCCCTTCTGCCTGTCCAGAGTGTCCCCTTTATCTGTTTTCCCCTCCTCTCCCACCTGCCTGTGGCCCACATTTGGAATGGCAATATGACTAGGGACTGCTGCTCCAGATGAGCCCATGCCCATCCCACAGATGCTACAGAGAATTCCCTGCAGCCCCTTAGGGCTGCCAGGTCCCAGGACCTCCTGGCCAGGACAATGATGGTCAACAGCTGCAAACTTATATGGGACTCAAGGGCAAAGACAGAAGAAAGAGAGATTGGGTCCCATTACCATTGCCCCATTTAGGTTGCCCCTCAGTTTCTGCTGCTAATATTTGTCAAGGGTGGGTGGGGGTAGGGGAAGGCAGTCCGATTCAGCTGCAGCCAGAGGAGAAACAGAATCCCATCAAAGTCTGGGCAGCATTTTAGTGGGCTCTTAGAGAGCTGGCATTTCAGGAGGTAGCAGGGGCCAAGAGGATAAGGAGGCAGCATAATTCTTGATTCTCACATCTTGTTTAGAATAGAAAGAGCACTTGGTCTGGAACAGGAGATCATAGATTTAGAGTAGGAATAGACCTCAAACGACACCCACTTCAACCCCTTCATTTTACAGAAAAGGAAAATGAGGGGGCAGCTAGGTGGTACAGTGGTTAGAGCACCAGTCCTGGAGTCAGGAGGACCTGAGTTCAAAGGGGATCTCAGACACTTACTAGCTGTGTGACCCCCTAAGCAAGTCACTTAACCCTGATTGCGCCTACCCCCCCAAAAAAGAACACTAAGGTCCAGGGAAGTGAAATGATTTGTCTAAGGTCTCACAGGCAGTAAGCATCACACATAAGATTTGAACCCAGGTTCTCTCACTCTAGACCCAGTGTTCTTTCCACTGTTCCACAATGAATCTTTCCTCTATTTCTCACTGCCTAGGTCACCTTGGGCAAGTCATTTGTGCAAGATGATCTCTATGTTTACTTTTAGCTCTACTGTACTTCCTGTGATTCTACAGAGTCAGTAATTTACTGTGGGACTGATGATCCCCCGTGTCTATTATCCTCTCCTCCCCTTTCCTACATCTTTCCAAGTCAGGGCCAAGGTTCCCTTGTTTCCTGTCCCCCAGAGGGCAATCAGAGAAAGTGAAAGAAGAAACTTCAATGAGATGTCCTAATTCCATTCAATTCAATGCCTTTCCACAGAGCCTCACTCTCTCTTGGGCTCAGTCTTCTATTTAACCTCAGTTGAGGAAGGAGAGCAGCTTAGTAGAGCAGTGGATAGCATTCTCCCACGGCCTGGAATCAGGAAGACTCATCTTCTTGCATTCAAATCTGGCCTCATACACTTACTAGCTGTGTGACTCTGGGCAAGTCACTTCACCCTGTTTGCCTCAGTTTCCTCATTTGGAAAATGAGCTGGAGAAGGAAATAGCAAATCATTCCAGTGTCTTTTTTTTTTTTTTTTTTTTTTGTCAAGAAAACCCCAAACTGGGTCTTCTGACAAAGAGTCCGACACAACTGAACTGAAAAATGACTGAACAAGGGGAAGGAGGAGTAGATTCAGGATCTGACCACTGAGAGATCATAGTTTGGTGAAGGGGAACCAAGCATGTTGATCAACAAGCATTTATGAAATGCCCACTACAGGCTGGGCAGAATAGAAGGTAAGGCAGAAAGAGCAGTAGTTGGTCAAGAGATGACATTCTCACAATAATTGCACTGAGAAATCAAGGGGCACTCAGTAGTCAAGGAAGACTTCTGGGAGGACCCAGCTCATAGATTTAGAACTAAGAGAGACCTTGGAGATCATGGAGTCCAACCCCCTCATTTTATAGAAGACAGACGCTAAAGCCCAGATATGTT